TTATCGCTTCGACTGTACTATATCGTTTCTCCGTTTGTCTCGAAGTACGGTTACCTTGTGACTGCTCTTGTCGATGTCCCACGGTAATGATATCTCGGTGTAATCCTTATCTCCAAAGTCAACGAGCAACGAAGGAGAAGGGCCGACAAGAAGACACATGTTTACTATTTGCGTAATTTATCTCATGAAATTTTAAAACTTGTACTACTTGATAACAGTCTTTGAATAATAAATATAGATAAGGAAAGATCATGCTGACATGGCTTTGTTATGAGTGTGAAAAGGTAACAGTATATTTGATCACATGATGGTATGATTGTCCGCGATTGCGGAGTAATTTACCTGGGAAAACGTTTTGTTATTTCAAGAATATTCGGGGCGTGGGGCGGGAGATTGGAACCGTAGAAAATATATGTAACAGTCTAATCAGGTCTACCTAATGTTATTGACCCGTGAAGATCCGGGTTAGAATTGGTCATCAGCAATCCATTCTTGTCGTAAAAGGCGACTAACGGTATCGGGTGGTCAGACACGCTGACTTGGTTGACACGAAACATCGTATACCAGTTGCGTATATCGATGGTCATGATGTTGACCACTGGATTGTCTGGACCAGATTCGATTATATACAGATTGTCGCCATATAGCTGGAATATTGATCAGTGCTGCTTTAAACAACAAATCAACCAACCAACTAGCTAGTTTTTTGAATTAACAAAACTAGTCGAGTAACTAGACAAGTCACTCCTTAAAATTATACAAATGTAAATCCATAAGTAGCTTTTATACTTATTACCTGTCTACGTTCTTAAACCTGCATTACATCCCGCTTCTCTCCACACCACAATACCAAGCTATGATATCACTTCATCAGAGGGTCACACAAACCCATCTTAGCAGCGAGCATGTTGTCAGCCAATGGGTCATGCATGTGTAGATGCTTTGATAAAAGAAAGTTCATCCGTGAGCGATATACGTAGATATATTTATATATATGGCTTTGTAATCTTACATGCAGAAGATGCCATCTGTATTGACATATTTTGAGCGATATACGTAGACGTGTGTATATATATGGCTTTGTAATCTTACATGCAGAAGATGTTTTCTAGTTAGAATCGGAGTAGTTAAAACAGACCGTATTCAACAGTTAGAATGCCATCTGTATTGACATATTTTGAACACCACGTTTGACATGTCCATATCATTCCATTGCAATAATGTACGATCAACACAATGTAAACTACACCTACGTAAGACAAATAATGGCAGTATGCGAAAGTAGAGAATTGTTTGATCGTATAACCTTATAACTCGCCGTGCCTATTGTCCGACTCAGCGTCTGGCGTATTCACATGTTGGTGAGGAACTTCAAGGAAGATCACGCCAGGTCATTCCGACAGATAGACCAATCAATATCCCAGAAATTTGCAAGCCAACTTAAACGCAGTCATCTCCGGGAGAATTTTTAAAAAAAGAGTTAACGATTGAAAAGAAATAATTTTCAGCCTTAAGTTTTTTGAGTCCATGTCGCTTTCACGTTGCGTTGTAACGGGAGAAAAAAAGACTTCAGTTTATGATAGTATCCAGATTGTTTAGGGAAGCTACATCCTTCACAAGGAAATGGGATGAGGTGACCTCTCTCTCACGTTCACCGTCAGTGGTTTATGGTATGTTTGGTCACGAATTCCACAAGCAGAACCAGAGAGGCCTTCCCTTCATGTAATTGAATTTGCTCGTATTCCATGTAGCCCTCTTGCCGGCTCCGGTAATCCATTGAGATGATTCCGTCTGGAATCCTTAACGTTGCGGATTTCTCTGTCCGATTTGGAATCTTGCTTTGGTAGGTTCCGATTGAAACCCGTGTTTCGAGGCTCACAGAACTTTAAATCAATTTGAACTATGGGTGGGACGTGATTGAAAGCAGAGCAAACGTCACGGATGAATGACGTGGTTCCCCCATCGCCCCCAGCCCTGTTGTACTACAACCTTCGATATTGAATCCTCCCCTCTGGGAGACATTGTACTGGCGCCAGAGGTCTTACCAGTCGATGATATCTTCTCGAAAATATGCAACTATAATAAACCAAGCTATATGTTACTGTACATAAGCATCTCTACCCAGGATGATATTTCGCTATGATTGACCCAGAAACCACAATACCGATGATTCATTCACAATTCTGTGTAGATCTGACGTAATAAATGAATTTTGAAAGGAATACGTTAGAATTAGAGGACTTTGAAATATTTAAAATAAATATCACATATCCATCATTGGTGTTTTTGTATTTTCGCATATTAATTGATATTATTTGTTCTTTTCCTGTTCTCGTTCATCATTCTGACATGGAAATAACACGCATTGTTTTGCAAAGACACCCAAATCGCTCATCGATGTGAAGTCTTTGGCTGTGTTTTATGGCTATTGCCGAATGGAAATTCAATGAATTCTGATGAGCCGATAAATAGTTATCAAGAATGTATGAGGCTTCCCGACAAGGCAGCCTCTTCTAAATCCTCCGAGTGTCTTTGAAAACAAATGGCAACACCAAACACATGACAATGGCGACCCACGTTTCTTCTCGAGTTGACCGAGTCGTCGAAGCACAATGGCCGCAGCTCGTAATGTTTATAAACGAGACGCCTTTCATCTTTCCTTTCAATCAGCTGAATTCAGTTTTGTTTGCTAAATATAATTGCATTTCGTGGAGATTTTATTTGATTTTCCTGCACATCATAGAACCAGATACTATTTGTAATATTGTAAACAATTTCTTTGATTAATTAACCCTTGATATTTGAAAGGAATAGCCATAAAAATCATAGTTGTTTTTAATTATTACGATGTTTACAGAAATTCTTTGACGTCAAATATAGACTAATTTAACATACGTGTAAAGAATATGAACCTATTTGTTTGAAAAAGAGCCCTGAACCTATATATCATATTGATTTACCATTTATGGTGAGGGGGGATTGTGGTGGTATTTTGTTACTTCCCTTTGTTTTGCTAGGATCTGCTGATCGTCCGATTTGCTCTCCATTGACAGCGTCATACCCATGGGTTTCATTAACGGGATCGTCTACGCTCTGCATCATTTGAGGTTTTCTCTAGTTTAAAGTTGACAATTCAGTAGTTCTTTTGTTTCCTTAGATATTGATGCAGAAGCCGGATTATATCGTCTATTGTGACAATTGGTTTGATAACAACATCGCAGCGATCGTTGGTTTCACTGAAGTACGTCTACCATCCGTGCGAGTCCTATTGAATATGCATCCCAGTGATTTATAGATTCGTCGTGATATCACTGTAACCCTATTCCAAGTGTCCTCAAGTCCACTTTGTACACTCCACCATTTTCAGATGACGTAGATCTATGGCGTCTCCTTTTTCCCATGCGAGTTCTTTTATGAGCCTTACATTCAAATTTACGCAAATCTCCTTTCAAGCGATGTTTCAAAAACAACACCAGCTTGATTGGGTCAGGACGCATCAACGTCAGGTGGCTCCGTTACGAAGACAGTGTTTTGTCCAAACGCTCACAACGGTAGACTAAAAACGCTCTCGGGATATATCGGTGACAGTATTTTCACGGAGATATGCCTCTCGGTGATGGGGAAACCCAGTTATCCGTCCATGTGTTATATCACATGGATAATTATCTGTCCTTCACTGGTACAAAAAGTTCATATATTATACAGTTTGATGGACTCTACCGAGATGAATTGTTTCTATCTGGAGTAGACCCAACGTGATTGGCTGAAATTAGGCACCGACAAAGGGTGATCCAAGATGCCGTAGGAAAAACTATCAAAAAAGTCTGTGATGTTTAACGGTAAATTTTTACACAAGCTGCCTGCTTGCATTGCTTTAACTTGCAGTTCGAGTGTCCTTGTAAACTCCTAAACACAGCTGCCAACTTGCGCTTATTTTGTATCTTGCCTCAAAATGTGGTCCATTTCATTGATACGGGTTAGTCAGTTCTGGGAATTTTCTGAAAGGTTCCAAAACGGTATGTTGGTGATTATTGGGGAGAAACTCAAAGTGACCATGAGTGCTACTAATTTGCTGGACTCCATGAGAACGAGAATGTTACGTACAGACAACTGTGAGACCAGGTGGAAAAAGTACGATCAAATCGGGGATTCGAACTTACTATATCCACGTCAGTAGAACATATATGTGTTTTACTAATATAATACATTTCTCTGAATAAACCATTCATTTCCCTTGTACATATGAGAGGCATTCTATTAAATACTCTACTATAAATACTAAGAAAACTGGAACCGTTAAGTTTTATGGTTATTTAAATTACTTTTTGTGTGATCATATACTTCATTGTTCCCTGACTTCTGCGTATCCTGGTGACCCCGGTACGTTATTCCACTGATTTCCCTGTGTTATTTTTACGGAAGATGAAATTAGGACTACAGGATCATTTTCAAGGTCCGCAGTCCCTGTTTGGGGCGATGGGGTAGCCTAGTGGTTAAAGTGTCCGCTCGTCACGACGAAGACCCGGGTTCGATTCCCCACATTGGTAAAATGTGTGAAACCCAAAAGATCTGGGTTAGAACTAGTCGTCAGCAACTCCTGCTTGTATATAAGAGGCGACTGGTGTCATCGTTCCCTATAGTCCGTCAACTGAACTTTTGGCACCCTGTTTTTCACAATTTACATAAAACTCCTGAATATTTCAAAACACTACTCTGTTCATATGGTAATTGTATACCGTGACCTAACAAGATATCGATTTTATTAATTTTAAAATGATTATTAAAGATTGTGCCTTTAAACCTGTCATATAATAATTGTAAAACTGTGGAGAGTTTTACGAGGGCTTAACGCACGTGATGGAAAAGCCAACAACATTGTAAAATGTGTGTCAGCGTGATGTGTACATGCACGGGGTATTTACATTAGCACGCTTACGTGATGTCAAAGATCGTCAACATACAGGTTGTGGTGAAAACGATGTTGTACAAAGATGACCGGCAAATCATCAAAAGAGTTTACAACTTTTTCAAGCGCGAGGCAAAGCGAAAAATAAGTGTTTTTTTCAATTGAGTGTTTCTCCAAAAGACATTTAATGCCACCAAGATCTGGAAAAGAAAATTGCAAAGAGTTATCTCCCATGACACTATTTCAGAGCCTGGCGATGACGTGGCAGTTAAATCGGGGACCGTCTCAAAACATGCAAAGAAAAGAAAGCTTGATGAATTCGATAGAAGGGTGGTGAGGGACGTCATGTGTCGGTTACATCTTCAAGCAAACTGAAGAAATATTGTTCAAAAGAAGACCATGACATCAATGTATCAAAGCATACCATATGCAAGCTGTTGTCCAAATTTGGATATAGATTATCTAAGATACAAGAGATTGAGCAACCAGACTTTAAAGACTTCAATAACTCTACTTGTTTAAAATGGATTTGTGATGATTATACAGTCCCTTTAGATTTGCTTGCAGGTGTAACAATGTAAACAGCATGCACGCGTGTCATACCATGTTGTTTGCTGTTCCATCGTATCATTTTACTCCCTTGCATAACTACTTCTAGTTTTCATATTTTTATAAGATGGCTTCTTAATAAGAAGCTTTAATAATTGACATACAATTGTGAAACTTAAACCTTAGATAGGTCATAACATATAAAGAGTGTATGCACAAAAACATTTTGAAGGCATTTTCGGTTAAAAGGTAAATTGTGAAAAACAAGGTGCCAAAAGTTCAGTTGACGGACTATAGTTGCGAAAATCATTGCTCATGATGTCAGTCCCTAGGCAGTTTGGTCCATATTCGATTATTTACACACTGCCGTTATATAGTTGGAATATTGCTGAGCGCGGCGATAAACGACAAACACACATGTCGTCGTTGCAATCTCAGATCCTCAGCTTCACGTTTTACTTTGAGGTGAGTGAGCGAGTTTATTTTTAGCAATATTCCAGCAATATCACGGCGGGGGACATCAGAAGTGAGCTTGACACATTGTACCATGTTCGGAATCGAACCCGGATCTTCGGCGTGACGAGCGAACGCTTTAACCACTCGGCTACCGCCCCGTTTCACTTTGGATAATTTGGTGTTGCTCGGTCCCTTTGTTCCGACACATGTCATCCTGCCCCAGGCAGCGAGGGCATTGCTCATAATATCACTCCCTGGATTACTGGTGCCAAAGTTGTCATGTGGTGGAATGTTTCTAATACGGCGTTCGAAAACAACAGAAAATATCCGCGATATGTAAATATAACCATATCATTTATCAGTGATGACTGACAACAATTCCCAACCACAGGACATCACTGACCACATAGCACTACCTTCTTTCTGTGAGGCTCCGAGTTGATTCTGGGCACGTTGTTGTCATTAAACGGGTCAAATTAAAGGTCAATTATTGGTATCGATCGCGACGTGTTGTTCTGATTGTGACGGTGTTGGCGATTGCAGCTGATGAGAGCCGACAGATGAACGTCAGCGAACCCTCCGTGCGGGACTGGGAGCCGTCTCCAGAACTAATACAATAGCCTCGTGGCGTTTTTCAAATATTATTTCATATTTTGATAACTCAAATGCCATTTAGCTGAAATTGATACCCCCGAGTCCACATTCCCACAAGGCACTCCTCATCAGCATACCATGAAGCAAGCCTTGTGGCATCATCCTCAGAGGAATTGGTTCTGGAAGTATTCTGAGTGACAGTTAGTGTAACTGGATTTCTTGTGATCATCTGTATGAAGTGCCGACGGTACAACAACAGTGAAAAATTGTGAATGACTAGTAGTACCTTTTAATCTAGATACGATAGCTCAAACACCGGAAACGAAATGTTATGTTAAACAACTGGTGCCTGGTGTAACAGCCCTAACCGCGAATCTGCTTCTCGGGAGTGCGTGATTGGGCGAGATGTTATACAACGTTTCAGTAATATCATTACGTGATAATAAAATCGAATGTTATACAGGTCCTAGACGATAACCTGTGGATAGCAACACCTCCATTATACATGGATAAAGTTTCAAGGTTACTTGTTGTCCTTATTTCCAGGAGAATGGCGGAGTAGACGACATGACATATGCATTGACAAATCAAGAAATATGAGTATAGTTATGGCAAATAAACAACATGATACACACACCGTAATAATGCGTATTTAACTCGGGTTCTGGCATGCTAAAGGGACATAACTGTACCCTGTGATTTCTGCAACAAAACATATTCTAGCTGTATTTTTAGGACAACCGAGTGTATGTTCTCCATAGTTGGAACCATGCCGAGCGCATATTTGGACCGAACGACACCGACAACGTTTCTGCTGGAGCCATGATGTTTAACATGATATGTCAGAAGGGACACACCGTCAATAGGTTTGGCACTGGTGCCCAATCTCGTTGTCATTTCATACAGTGAGATATGTTTAAATTAAACATGATATCTGGACAATGGAAATGTACTCTTGTTTCTGTTCTAGTCGTGATGTGTGTTCTGCATCGAACTGGGTCAACAATACGTCATTCAATTCTGTTAGCATCACTAGTATATTATAACATTAGTATTATAACATTAGTATTATAACATTAGTATTATAACATTCAAACATTGTTCATCACAGTCACTCTGATTACTGTTTCGTGAATAAACATCTTTTGAATATATTTCCAAATGCAAACCTCTCTTCATCTCAAACTTGTCAGACAAGGACCAGATGTTGTAGATGAACCGAACTCGTTAAAACCACTGTCATGCAAATCTCGTCAATACATCCACATTCTAGGAACGTATCCATGGTCCCGTTGTCGTGTTCAGGTTTTACCAACGCTTGCCAAGTGTACGTACTGTTCTGGCACTCAAAGACTCGTTTCCAGGAATACGCCATCATATGTTACTTTCGCCCTCCGCATGTTGTTTCCAGAGAGGTATCTTCACACCGGCACCTAGTTTCTCCTAGCACTGAGCTATCGAAATTCCATCTGCTCAGCGCTGGCAAATTTCTGGCGAAAACCCATTAGCTTTTCATTTACGTATCTGTTCGTACCATCTAACTGGGCATCACAGATTACGATCTGAACAAAACTCCACTCAGATCGACTGGTCCGTAGACCAATGCTTCTCTATACCGATAATCGGTTTGTACAAATAATCGATTTTATTTTTTATAAATTATCCAATGGTTCCTCCGTTTGGGCGACCTTTCGTTTCCTATTTTCCCTCGACATTTTTTATATCAGCAGACTCCACACTAATGGACGTAGGTTGTTGGTAATGATTGCCCTCTGCAATCCATCAACTTGGTTTTCCAAAGTCGATTAACCCTTTAAATGTTGCGAAGAGGTATCCACTGGGTGAGATTGGAACCAGCACGCCAGACACACGCACATAACGGGTTCTGAAAAACCTATAGATTTGCAAGAGTGGCAAAAGTGTTTTCTACTCGTATAGAGAAACAGTCTGTATAATTTTGATTTGTGGTTTTTATCAGAAATGAATGAATCCTTCTCAGTGTTCAACCGTGGTAGCCCGGCTGATTTTCGCATTTGGAAACCCCACAATTGATCGGTTGATGCGTGACAACAACGCAACTGCCGAGACCTAAGACCCTCAACCGAAAGGAAAGGCAGAGATCATTCGTTTGCTATGATTATTATATTGATAGTTTCTTTATGGAAATCGATCACACAGCAAAGAGAATATTTATCAAAATCAAAAGGAAATTGGCGATGGGATATTATCATATTGGTTGGAAAAAAACAGCCCTATTTCTTCCAAAAGAATAATAAAGCCATTTTCGGGGAATTAATAATGCCGGTTTATGCACCAAGCAAACTCCGCACCATTTTGTAAACTGAATTTCTTTCCTATTATTTAGTACAGGATGAAAGTTGTGTACTTAATTCAGGTATGTGGACGCCAACACAAAGGACACATATGAACTCGTGACGAAAGTTAACAAAGAAGTTCGACATACGTCGAAATGCTTGCACTTAATCAGATGAGTAAAATGAGATCAAGGATGTTTTATGACTTGGATGACCTTTCTCGATGCCCTCGTCTTGATTTACTGACACAGTGTTATCGTTGTTTATGGTTGTTTGAACACATTTGACCTAGAAATGCTTCCATCCACAATGACCAAAAGAAACCAAGATCATTACCTCGCTTGGTGTGCTATGTCTGCGGGATCAATCCATTTGCTGTGCACTTGACAGTGCGGCATCGACACCACAATAGACAGTACCACTAAGCCAATACAAAGACACTGCGCGATCGTCGCGAAGAGTAAAACCTAGTTATTGTCGCTACTTAATTTTTAAAAAAAAAGTTGAATTGTTTTCGTAATGTTTTTTAAATAACACAATTGTGACCGTTCACGTGGTCCAATCAGTAGATTTGCCTCCCCCGTACGTAAAGGGATTGTTCGTTGGATATTTCGATCTGAAGACTGTTTCGTTCGTTGCCAACGTTTGTTCACAAGCAGTAACTATGTCTCTGTATTGATTATTTGTTTGAAATGTGCCCAGCCTGAACCCACGCCAGTAGAATGTTTACATGTTTGACTTTGTCAACTAGACACATATACAGTGCGGAAAGAATTCCCGATGTTGTGTTGATTGAGTATAGTTTTACGCCGTTTTAAGCGCTATTCAACAATATGAGGCAGCAATACCGGAAATCGGGTTTACACATGTCTTAAGCATAACATAACGACTTTGGTTCGCCACCTCCAAAATGCGACGTGTGAATTTGAAATGGGCCTACGCTAAATTTTAGGAGTTTTTAATTATTTCATGTATGTATTTTCCAATGATCAGATGTGCAAGAATCCGTCAATTGGTTTCCATCTTATTGAGAGAGTGGGTGTTGTTTTACGACGCAATCACTCCGCTCTGCCACGTGCGCCTATAAGTGATCGAGTCCAGAATAGCTAAATCTGTTTTTGATTGTACTGTTTTCGATCCAAGCCGTCGGATGAATAACAAACGTCATGTTTTGTGATACCCCCATCCGATTTCTTTTCGGCTAACTCCTCAAGCTTTAAAGGAGTGAGTTCAGTTTCAAGCCTCACCCAGCAATATTCAAGCTATATGGCGGCGGTCAAGCTTTGAAGCTGAATACATTCAATGTCCTCATTTCAACGTTTTACAGCACATTCAT